ATTTCCATTAAATAAGTTAATATATTAAATGTAAAGTAAAACTTAAAACCATTAGTATCCATTGGCACGATTTGAAAACTGAATTGATTCTTGAAGAATTTAAAATATTAAATATTTAAACTGTTAAAGTTTAATTATCTTTTAAAAACAAGTATTATTATGTTAAGTCCTTTTGAATTATTATATATACTCATTATTATACATTTAGAATGGCATTTCTTATATTTCTAATTATTTCTAAAAGTAAAGGATGAAAAGTTAATTTTCGTATTTAAAGAATAAAACCATGAACGTTTAAAACTTCAAGTGACTGAACTCAGTTGATGTTTGCGAAATAATTATTTTTTCCTTAGTCTGTCCGTTCTTTCTTTCCTTCCGAATTTATTTCTTCGTACTCTTCAGCCCTCCCTTCTTTAAGTTTGTCGCAAGCACGCTCAATTCTAGATTTAGTAATAATAATATGTAGTGAGTGATAGAGTCCGTCCAAGCAAGACCACCCCCAAAGCGAGCAGACGAGCAGAAGCCGGACCCTATAGCGTGCCCCGCTAGTATACACTCTTCGATTTCAACCACTCTATACCCGTTGCACATTACAGTTATAATTTATTATTATTATTAAAGAAAGTGGCGCCCAACGTCGGACCTTAATGGAAAATTTCATTCATTAAGACTTACAGGAGAATAAATTCAAAACTCTTTTCTAATTCATTTAAAAAAACTTTTTTTTTCACACTTACAAAATATTCTTTGAGTTTTAATTTTCCTGGAAGACAGTTTTATGGATAGTTGGTATTCGTAGATGTCCGAAAATGAATAATCAACGGGATTTTCCTTGACAGTAGAAGAGATGATAAGGTGTTGCTTAAACTGAGGAATACAGAGGTAGCGACGGAGCCTAGGCCGAACCCCGGCCCGGTTTAAAAACACTAAGTCATTGAACTAGCCACCTTATCTTAAATAGAAAGATTTTAAATGATCATACTGAACTGCACGGAAAATCGACGCATTACTTGCGAGAGATGCTCGATCCAGAAAAAGTTGTCACAATTTCTATTGGTTTCCCTCTCTTGGGGCATTTTACTTCCATTAGTCGCAACCTGGAATACGGACCTGGCTTAGAACAGGCCACCGGTCAAGGCCGACTTAAAGATAGTAATTGCTTCCCTTGAACTAGATTTCAATCTTTTCGAAATTCAATTCTATAAAATTTTATTATTTCCGAGGAGACTAACAAAGACTTATGCCCTACGATGGGTGACATCCAGCAAGAGTTCAGTTTAAGTATCTATCAAAAAATATATCTTAGAGATATCTTTTTCGAACATATGTTTTATCGTTTTGTTATATCTTCTTGTTCTTCTTCTTATTATATCGTTATTCTTTTTATAATTTTATTCTTTGCCATTATATCTTTATGTTTGGTTATATTTTTTTTTGGTTACAATCACAACATTTCACAAATTAGTTTCCTTGTTTAACAATTATATTGACATAAGTGCACAAAGGGTTAGATAGTTCTCTGGAAAGAGAAGCTGAAGGAAGCTCTATTTTAATCTGTCCGATTTGTGATGGGGAAGTTAATGCTGTGGAGGTATGTCGAGCAGCTTGCTCTCACGAGTTTCACAAGCGCTGCATAGAAGCGCATTGGAAGAAAAGCGCACATTGTCCGATTTGTATAGTGGTTTGTAGACCGAAGGTTGCAAGAGCTATAGAATCGGCAAACCCGCAGTCAATCTAAGAATCGGCAAAACGCTGATAGCGAACCAGTATCCAAAGAATCGATAAATACGGGCCTCGGGCCTAAAAATCGGAAACGGACTTTTTCCGTGCGAGCCCGGTCCTTGGCAAAAAAGCCCTCTAGGCCCGTTGGCCCGGCAGGTCCGCAACGCCATAGCAAAAAAATGAAAATTTTTTCAGTTTTTTTTAGTTATTAATGAATAATATATAAAAATGAAAAGAAAAATGTATTTTAACGTTTTGGAAAAATGCAAACAATTTTAACCTTTTACAGACATTGGCTAAAAATGTTTTATGCATTCCCGCAAGCTCTGCAACTCCCGCAAGCTCGGTCTTCGGGCCTTACGGGCCTTAAAATTGAGTCCCGTGCCCATCTCTAGTTGGAACTGTCGCATGGAGGGACACAGATACCAAGATTGCGTATCGGAACGAAGGGTTTTCTGTTACGGTTGTGGAGCGGCCAACACATACAAACCAAGTTGTGCCCGATGTTCAAAAAACCCACAACACGGCACTCAGAAGTTACCTCCCAAAAAGAAGACTTCGAGTGCCGTTCGAAGCCAAGCAACGATGACCGACGAATAATTGATGAATTTATCGCCGACTGTATTTCGGCCACAGACGAGCAATCACAAAATGAAAGTCTTTGGCTACACAACAAAATTCAAAAATTAAAACATATAAATATCCCGGAATTTGAAAATTTACCAGATTTAGAAAAGCGAAAATCGCGTAGTAGGAGAAGAATTAAAGCTTTTTGGCAAAGAGTGCAGAAATGCCAGTTAGGTCTGGCTTATATAAATTCTTGTCCTGCAGAATAAAATGTCCTCGACTTTTTGTACCAATTCGATTATTGAATCGAACAGTCTTTGGCTTATTAGACTCAGGCTCTTCGATAAGTTGTTTTGGTGGCATGTTAGCTACCGAAGTCATAAAAAACCACAAATACCGATCGCTCAAGGGAAACGCATCCACGGCAGATGGAACGACGATGTCAAAAGAATACTAAAAATATACTTGTTCCCTTCACTAAAGCAAGATTTATATCTAGGTATAGACTTCTGGCAGAGCTACAATTTGCTGCCAAAAGGCTTAAATATTGCAGAGTTGGAGTCGGCGGACACCAACTGCAAAGATGAAGTCAACCAACACAAACTATCCGAAACCAACCAAGCTAAATTACGTTCCGTAATTAGTTGTTTTCCATCCTTTGCGAAAGAAGGTCTAGGGAGAACTAATCTAGTTACCCATACCATAGACGTAGGTACGGCCAAACCGGTCAAGCAACGTCATTCGTTACCCGATCGTCATGGTAACGAAGCCCGGAAAAGTGAGAATTTGTCTCGACTGCCGGAAAGTGAACAGTTTCACCGAAAAGGATGCATATCCGCTTCCACAAATAAGCGACATTCTTAGTCGTTTGCCAAAAGCCCAATTTATATCCAGCTTGGATCTGAAAGATGCCTATTAGCAAGTTTCGTTTGACGTGGCATCTCGCGATTAAACGGCTTTTACGGTCCCTGGACGACCTCTATATCAGTTTAAGGTCATGCCTTTCTGGCTGTGTAACGCAACAAGTACGATGTCCTGATTGACATCTCGAAGACATCGAGACATCTCGAAGTTCTGAGGAAGTTAGCCTTACAATTGAAGCTTGCAGGTTTGACAATCAATGTTGGAAAAAGTCACTTCTGTATACGCCGAGTAAAGTACCTAGGTCACATCATTGGAGACGGCGGCATTTGTACCGATCCAGAAAAGGTGGATGCTATAACAAACTTTCCTTTGCCACGAACTTTGAGGGGATTGCGGAGCTTTATGGGCCTGTGCGGGTGGTATCGGGAGTTCGTTCCTAATTTTGCATCTGTTGCTGCTCCGTTAACGGATTTAATGACCCCAAAGCGGAAGTTTAGTTTGACAGAGGAGGGCATAAAAGCTTTTGAGGCATTGAAGAAATGTCTAAGCAAAGCTCAAGTATTGTGTAGTCCTGATTTTACAAAACCTTTCGGCATTCATTGTGACGCAAGTAAGACAGGGGTTGGAGCCGTATTAGAGCAGATTTAGAAGAAGGAGACGAGCGTCCTATCTCAAACAAATTTAATACCGAGCAAGAGTGACTGGCCGCGAAAGTGGCTTTAAAGGTTTTCAGGGCGTATGTCGAAAGACTCGAATTTAAGATCATCACCGATCATGCGTCGTTTAAATGGCTGATGTCTAATCACGATTTGAGTTGCAAAATTATCGGTTCAAGATTGAGCACCGAAAAGGAACTCTTAATGTCGTTCCAGACTCATTGTCTCGAGTCAACGAGGAGGTTATAGCCGCCATAGATATGCGGGAAGGGTTTCTGGTAGACTTAAATTCTAAACATTTTAAATCGTAAGAGAATGCGGAGCTGGTTCAGCAAATAGGAGCAAATCAAAACAATTTTCCGGATTTGAAAACCGATAGCGATTATCTTTATCGAAAAGCTGAACATTTAACGGGAGAGCAAGTTCATGACGAATTTGCATGGAAACTCTGGATCCCTAAAGGATTAATTCCAGAGGTACTTTCGCGAGCACACGATTGTCCTTTGGCATCCCATGGTGGGATACACAAAACCATTGAGAAAATAAGGCGGTATTACCTCTCGCCTGGACTCGTGCCCGATGTAAAGACTTACGTTAATTCATGTCAGGTTTGCAAAATAACAAAAGCTCCAAATCACATATTACGACCGCCGCTAGGTAAAGCGCCGGAGAGTCAGCGGTTTTTCCAAAGGCATCTTTATTGTTCTTGACCATTTCACTAAGTGAGTATTTTTGAAGGCTGTACGGAAAATGGATACAAGCGCGGTAATAAAATATTTGGAGGGAGAGTTATTTATGATTTTTGGAACTCCCGAGTCTCGTATCGGACAATGGGTCACAATTTCGGTCTCACACATACCAGAAGTTAATGCCACAATATGGGCGTTGCGGGAATTCGAAGTTTTTTAGCGCCGCCCGAGTAAAGACGCCCGTGTAAATAATTGTTGATAATTGTTTATTGTTTTCTTCATTTATAACAGGGTAACAGTGGTACAGTCGGTAACCACCCTTTTACTGCAAGCAGTGATAGCAGCACTTTAAATTCCTAGTAAAGTAATGGTGGTACAATTCATAATCAAATCTTAAATCTTAATATGTTCTCACTTTTCGTCCGCTTGCCTCGAGTGTCAAATAGAAAAGAAAGCTTAGGCACATGGCTACCGGCTAAGTTAACAGAGATTCAACACCCGCTTAAACTATCGGTTCTGCAACTTCGGCGTTTCCGATAGATAGAACTGCCAGCTTCGTCGCGGGTCTTGTATAAACGCCAGATTGGGTCCTCACCGCGGCACTCCCCACTTGACCGTCCGAGCTAAGGTTCACCTTCAGGATTCTTCCTTTCGGCCACTGGCTACGCGGCAGTCCGGGATCGCACTTGGTTCGCCTAGTGATCACTGGCAGGTATTCTTGAAGCCTTCGCCTCCAGAACGAGTCCGCCAGTTGTTGTGATTCCATCCAGCTCTTCTTGAGCTGCACTCCTTCGGGTAGGGGCTCCATCGTCGGTCCTCTTCCAGTTGAGCTTCCAAGCAGAAAATGATTCAATGTCAGTGATTCTTCGTTTTCATCTTCCAATGGAATGTATGTTAGGGGTCGCGAGTTGACGATCGCCTCCGCCTCCATTAGAGCGGCTCTCAGCAACTCATGCAATGGTCGTTTGCCAAGGAGGATTGATTCCAACGCCGTCTTCACGGAACGCACTAAGCGTTCCCATGCCCCACCCATGTGGGGAGATGCGGGGGGAATGAACTTCCATGTCATCTGGGGTCCAGTGAACTCGCGAGAGAGTAGATCCTTGTCCACATCTTCGAACGCCCTACGCAACTCCGTGCAAGCTCCTTGAAAACTGGTGCCGTTGTCGCTCCAGAGTTCCACTGGGCACCCTCGTAGGGCCATAAAACTGCCCACCGCTAGAATACAAGAGTCAGTTGTTAATGAACACGCTACCTCTAGATGTATTGCCCTTGTAGAGAGGCAGGTGAAGAGCACGCCGTATCGTTTCTCTGAACTGCGTCTGACCCGCACCATCAGAGGCCCAAAAGTAGTCCACACCCGTGTAGCTGAAAGGTCTATGAAAGGCTGCTACTCTTGGATAGGGAAGTTCCGCCATGCGCGGTGGTTTGGGGGCCGCCTGTCGGTTCTTGCATTGCTGGCAGGAACGTCGTATCCGATCAAGGGTGGATCTCAGCTTTGGTATCCAAAATCTTTGTCGTAGTTCGTTGACCACCGTCTCGTGGTTAGCGTGCTGAAATCTTCGGTGAAATTCCTTTATGATAAGCTGCGTAATGTGGCTGCCGCAGGGGAGTACGACGCGGTCGCTTCCCTTGATCATCTTGGCACGTTCATCCATCTTTAATACTCCATCGGAATCTATTTACGGTCCCAGCCTGTATAGTAGGTTATTCTTCTTCAATGGTTTTCCTTGTAAAATTAACCGTATCTCCGTCTGATAGTACTCCGCCTGAGCGTACGACCACAGAAGACTCTCCGCGAACCTGGTATCTTCTTGTGATGGCTGATTTTCGATGTCCGACCGTTGAAGAGCTTTGGCCTTCCATCGCCTCATACACCATACCGTTCTCGCGGTACTCCATAGCAGACGAGTCCAGATTGAGAACCGCTCGGAGTCTACGAGGGTCGCGCGTCCTACGTCTGTGAACGTCCATCACATATGCCGATGAATTGCGCCTTCAATTCCATTCCTGACTCGTCTCCTTCTTCCGCCTCTGTCAGCGGCCAAAATGGCCTCTATCCAAAGAAATCTCGGCCCGTTCAAGCAACGACTTTCTCGGTTGAAATCAGGTCCTTTGTTCCACTTAGTGGCGTCGTCCGCCAAGTTCTCGGAGGAAGGTACCCAGTGCCAGTCCTTGACGCTAGTACCGTCTAGAATCTCGATCACACGGAATGCTACAAATTGTTTTTACTTGCTCTGGTCCGATCGCAGCCAACTCAACACGGTCCTCGAGTCGGTCCAGGAAGTCCGTGTGCTCAGCTTCGCGCCAAGTGAAAGCTCCAGAGTTTGAGCTAACCTCGCTCCAAGCACTGCTCCCATGAGTTCAAGCCTTGGTATGGATGTCGGTCTTAGAGGGGCTACCTTGGTTTTGCTGCCCAGTAGACTGCAGTGGAACTCACGGCGTCAAATCCATTCTCGCTTGCGTCCACGAAGGTGTGCATCTCCACTTCTGAATCCATCAGCGACTCCTTCATGTGGCATCTTGGGATGGTCATTTTCTCAACGTCCAGGATATACCTAAGCCATCGCTTCCATTTAATCCATTCTGCCTCAGGTATGAGGTCATCTCAGGTACATCCACTTCGCCATATTTTCTGAAATATTATTTTTGCATACATCACGTAGAAAAATATGAGCCTTAAAGGATCATATATAGACATCAACACACTGAGAAACTCTCGTTTGTCGGGTCGTTGTCTTCCTTGGAGAAGTTCTCTATGGCGATATCGTGGGGATACACGGCAGCGGATGAGATCTTCTTTCGTGTCCCACCACATTCCCAGCACCTTCTCGGTCTGTCCATCCGTTGTTTCGTCTAGTCTCACTAGCGTGGGTGCTCCTTCACCGAGTGCGCTTTATACTTCTCTGGAATTCGATACCCAGTTTCGAATGAGGAATCCGCCCTGAAGATGAATGTAGTGGACCTGACGCGCGAGGCTTATAGCTTCTTCCTCCGTGTCGACGCTGTCCAGCATCTCGTCTACATAGTGATTCTCCAGTATGCACTTAACAGCGCGTGAGTATTCCTTCTTGAACGACTGTGCATTTCTGTTCTTTACGTACTGGGCACAGCTGGGGGAGCAACTAGCCCCAAACGTCATTACCTGCATGGCGTAGTTCTCTCTCCGTTGTGTGTATGGGTCTATAAATACAAAGCGTTGGTATCTCTGATCTTTTGTGTGTATCGTGACCTGATGAAACATCTCGGCGATATCGCCGCCGATAGCAATACGTTTCTCTCTAAACCTGTAAAGTATTGGTACCAACTGCGCTAGTTGGTCAGGTCCCTTCAGCAGCATTGTGTTCAGCGAGATCCCTTCCGTCTTCGCAGCCGCATCCCAGACTATGCGAAGCTTTCCTGGCTTGTTCACGTTTAGGACGGGAAAGATAGGTAGATACCATGGCTTTTCCTCAGCTTCTTCCGACGTAATGGGCCGTGCATATCCTTTTTTCAATGTCGGCGAATTTCCTTCGCAAGCTCCGGCTCGTGAGTCAGTTCCTGGTACAGGCATCGTGCCCGCTTTAGGGCTGTCGGTAAACTATCCGGCAGCTTGTCATCTTTATACCTCCAAAGCAGACCTGTTTCAAATCGGCCATTTATACGCCTCGTGTTCTTCTCCAGCTGCTGTATAGCCAACTGGCGCAAGATCTCCTTGTTCTCGTCAGCTTCACATGCAAAAATGTGAAACACGTGGTAGTTTGGGGTTATGTCATCACCCACACTGTTGGAGCTTCTTCCTTTAATCGTCCACCCCAGGCGGGTCTTCTCAGCGATCGGTTCTTCTGTTGTGCCTTCCTTGGTGCGAAGCACGCGCCCTAGTTTGCAATTATTAAGACCTATCAGGAGCCTGGGCTGTGGTGAGTCGTATCCGGACAGTGGTAGATGTCCAAGGTGTGTGTGCTGTGCTTTCAGGTGGGTTATATCCAACGACTGTGATGGAAGATCAAGAGACTGGACCGAGTGAACGTCGCGAAGATCATATAGCTTCGTTTGGCCAATGCCGGAGATCCTTAAGTCGAATCTGACCGAGGTGTCCTAATACCGGTGCATGCCGGCAGTCCACTGCATACATAGAGGCTGCGGTTGTCCCTTCACTCCAAGGTCTTCTAGCAATGGGGCGTCGATCAAGGTTAGAGATGACCCGTCGTCGATGAAGGCATACGTGTTGGCAAGTCAACACGTATTTCCAAAGTCACTGAATAGCATTTCCACACCTTCTAGTCGGTGTGCATGACACCTGGACGGGAGCCGTGAAGTCGCGATGCAACAGGTGATGATGGCGTTCTAGGCATCCATCTATTCCGCAAGGATTTGGGGCGCCGCATCTTTCTACCTTGTGGCTCTGGAAACATCTCCAGCACAAGCCACACCGTCGAGTAGCATTCCAGCGATCGCGGGTCGTCATTTCGAGGAATGCTGGACACTCCTGCAGGGTTCTGCAATTTCGGGTGCACAGCCGACAGCCTTGGCGAACAGTATGTGTATGTACCGTCCCCCTTCTCTCCGTTCTTGACGAAGAGCTTGGGACTATCACATGGCTCGCTCCTTCTGCCATCTGCGATAGCCACGTACTTAACTCTGCTAACGTACACACTGTTAGAGAGGCCTTGTGCATTCCCCAAAACCTTGTGCATTCCACCATCGATGGCAACTTGCTCACTAGCTCCTGCGTGAGCGCTGGGTTGTTTAAGTACTGGTCCAACTTGGAGACTTTCATCGTAGCACAAACATTTTGCACCTCCACCGAGAAGTCAACCAGCATTTCAAGCTTATTCTCTCTCACTTAAGGGAATTGTTTAATCCTTGTCACTAACAAGTCAATGAAATTCGCCCATATCGCATTCTTAGCGTGGCGATTATCTGCGGAACACAGTCCGCATGCAGCATTAGACTTTGTACTGCGTTCTTGGCTGGTCCTTCCAACGCATGCCGAAGTCGCATTGGGTTCTCGGCATCCGTGAATCCGCATAGCTCCGTCGTCTGTTCATACGTTTCGATGAATAAGGGCCAGTCCTCCGGCCTTCCGGAAAACTTCACCAACTCAGCCAGGCTAGTCTTCCTCGCTGTCAATTGTTCGTACGATGGTCTGCCCACAGGTTTAGTGACCCTATCAGCTGAGTGGTTCTCCCCAGTGGTAGAAAAGAACCATGGGGGCCCAGCGTGGGCTCTCTGCGTACTGCCGTTTCCTTCCACAACGGCAACTTCACCAATTGTGTCCGTACCAGCATTTCGGTACCGTGTAGTAGATGCTCCAGGCATCTTTTCTGCGTGGCAGTCTCCGATAGCCTCTCCCTTGGGAGCGTGTCCCCAGCCGTCAGGCAGGTCAGCTTTTCTGTCCTGATCAACGTCGAGTTCTGTGCATGGACGTCTACGTCACACTCTGCACAGATCCATCCTACGCCGCCATCCTCTAGAGCAGCACACTTAGGATGGCACATGCTCACGCAGCCGGCGCCGATACAGCCAACTGTCACGTGCTCGTCCTCCACTTCACAGAGGAAGCATGTCGCCACCAATCTTGCCTCTCCACCGGATCCAGTAGGCATCTCCATGTTGATTTCGCTCTCAGATTCCAGTATTCTGCAATAATATACCAGAAAAGAATTTAAAGAAATGTTGCGGGAATTCGAAGTTTTTTAGCGCCGCCCGAGTAAAGACTCCCGTGTAGATGCTGATAATTGTTTATTGTTTTCTTCATTTGTTAAGCAGTGATAGCAGCACTTTAAATTCCAATAAAGTAATGGTGGTACAATTCATAATCAAATCTTAAATCTTAATATGTTCTCACTTTTCGTCCGCTTCCCTCGAGTGTCAAATAGAAAAGAAAGCACATGGTTACCGGCTGAGTTAACAGAGATTCAACACCCGCTTAAACTATCGGTTCTGCAATTTGGGCGTTGCCGGATGCCGCGGGAGCAGTTTTGCTATCTATCGTAACAATGGGGTTAGGCATACACTCACCGCTGTGCATTCGCCACAGGCTAACCTTTATTCATCCGAGCCTTTATTCATCCGGATCAGAAAGATTGGGATGAACACTTAAATAAAATAAGTTGTGCGCTGAGATCATCGGTGCATGATAGTATAGGTAAATCCCCATATTACATAGTGTTTGGGCAAAATCTGGTTACCTCGGGAACCGTATTCTCTTTTAAGGAAATTGAACTTGTTAGACGACCGTTCATTAAAGTTCAATCGCTCAGATTCCTTTGACCTTGTGCGAGAAAAGGCAAGTAAGTGAATTTTAGAAGAGCACAACGAAAATGAGAAGAGATACAATCTCCGATCACGAGAAGTATCTTTTTCAGTTGGTCAGGAGGTATATAGAAGGAATTTTAAGCAAAATTATTTTAAAACGGGGTACAATGCGAAATTTGGTGCATCCTTTGTAAAGGCCACAGTCCGAAAGAAAGTAGTACATACCTACTACGAATTAGAAGACCTACAGGGAGTACTGGTCGGTACTTACCACTCCAAGGACATTCGTTAGTAACCTGTCTTTAGTCGTTATCAGTCTATATGAGATTATACCCTAGCCTGATTCTTCCGGGGGCGCTTTGTACCGGGACCGAAGACGGGTTTGCTTACTTTGGTCGAAGTTCAAACAACTAAATTC